CACACTCAATAACTATGTAATAAATGACAGCTCTATGCAAGATACTGAGCAAGGAATTATGGAAGATACAAGGAAGTGTAAGGCATGGGCATTGCCTTTATGAAATTTACAGTTGGGTAGGAAGATGCGTAAATACATGTACACAAATCATTATGGCAAAGGGCAGCATGTGAAAGTACAAAAAGAGACATAAATAATAAGTTCACAAGATCGTTTCAGGCAGGGCTAACCAAGGAAATCGTGATGGAGGAGAAAGCATTCGAATTTGGCCTTAAAGGAAAGGTATAAATTGAACAGGTAAAATTACCAGGCCTATGCTCTAAAGACATCAAAGAAAGAGGAAAAAGGTCTAGTATATAGAGTTCTAGATTGGAGTGAGGAAGATGAAGGCTCAAATATTGCCCCTAACACTTAGTAGGTGTGTTTCTCTAGGTAGGTGGCTTTATCTCTCCGAGTTTCAGAAAGGACTTATCTACAAAGTTGTGGTATCAAATGAGATAATAAATGTAAGGGGCTTTGCAAACATTAAGGTGTTATATAAATAACTATTATTATCATTGTAGATGGGCTGGAACTGTGTCAAATGAGATTATGTAAAACTATGTCTATATCTATTATGTAAAACTATATCGAAACATATGCCATCAGAATCCTCCAGTTCTCCTACTTTTAGGGTCAGCAGTGATGTGATGATAGAGGTCCATTCAGGAGCCAGTTAGGAAGGCCTGGGTTCAAGTCCTGCCTCAGATACATACTGGCTACATAACCATGGGCAAGACATTGAGCCCCTCAGTGCCTCTGACAACTATCATAGACAATACAAACTGAAAAACATCACTGATCTGCATTAGCGGAGGGTATCATTTCATCCACATTGATGGGATAGCTGAGTGGTGCAGTGGATAGAGCACCAGGCCTGAAGTCCAGAAGATCTGAGTTTAAATCCAGACTCAGCCGTTTCCTAGTTGTATGACCCTAGCAAGTCACTTAACCTCTGTCTTCCTCAGTTTCCTTACCTGTAAAATGGGGATAATAATAGAACCTCCCTCTGAGGGTTGTTGTGAGGATCAAATGAGATAATAATTGTAAAGCATTTAGCACAGTCCCTGGGATATTAGCTGCTATGATGATGATGATTAAATCTCAGATCTAAAAGTCCCTAAGCCCCTTCCAGGCCCCCCAAACCCATATTTTTAACTACGCGACAAACAGAACACAAACTATAGAGGCCAACTCACTGACACTGTTTTTAGCCTTAAACTTATATTTGTTTAGGTAGAACATGCTTTAATATTCTGGAGAAAGCTCTCACATCTTAGAATTATAGTCATGTAAGTTTCTGGGCCCAAGGAGAGGAAAACAAACCATTTATAAAAGATGAAATCTCTATGTGACAGTTGTAAAAGATAACAAATGAAATGGCATACCTACAAAAAACAGTCATTTGTAAAATGAGGGAGCTAGACTCAGTGACTTCAAAAGTTCCTTCCAGGGCATCATTCTATGATTGCACCAAATGCAGATAAACAGAAATTGACCAGCTTATGGGCTGATACAACTTTAGAGCTGGAAAGGATCTTAAAAATTATAAAGATCAAACCATATCTTTTTTTTCCCAAATAAAACAACCAAAATCTAAAAAGGTGAATAGACTTGTCCACAGTCAATGGCCAAGCCCAGAGTAAAACCTGGCTTTCTAGCTGGGCATCATCAATGGAATGCAGGACTGTCATAGAAAATCTTGTCTGTAACAAAAAAGTTGCCATCTTTTAAATCTCTGTTGATCTACTATGCCACCGATAGCAGTTCAATTTAGTACCGAGAGTTACGTACTTTCTGTCATAGTGGGTCATGTTATTTTTTTTCCTCATTGATTATATGTCACTGAGATATAGAAAAGGAGCCAAGGCCCTAGATGAGGGCTGGAGACTGGAAACTTGCTTCTATTTCTAGATGCCTTCATTTCCTTTCTATTTTACTTTCAGCCATTAGGCAGGCTATCCATCAATCTGTGCCTCTCCTAGGATATGAGAAGGGCTTAGCTATTCACGGAGGTGATTAGCAGCATGGTTTGGTCACAAATGGATATGTGTGACCTGATATAACTCCAAAGGTGACTATGGAAGTAAAAAATACAATTGGTGTTGGGAGTCTTTTAATATTTCACTTTGCCCCTCCCACCTCAGGTTCTCAGGGAATAACAGAGGGCTTTAAATGCACAGCGGTCATAAGATGAATTGAATTAATTCAGTTTTGGAGTTAGAAGACCTGGGTTTGATTCCTAGCCTGCTACTTATTGCCTGTGTAATCTTGAATAAGTGACTCTATGAAAATGAAAGGGCTAGACTGGATCAGAGGTGTCAAACATGTAACCCTATGAGGTCCACAACACCATCATCATCATCCTCATCCTCGTCAGAGCTAACATTTATATAGTGATTACTATGTGCCATACACTGCTCTAAGCACTTTATAAATACCATCTCATTTGATCCTCACAACAACCCTAGGAGGTAGGTATTATTATCATCCCCATTTTACAGATAAGGAGACAGACAAACAGAGGTCAAGTGACTCGATCAGGGTTGCACAGCTAGTGTCAGAGGCCTGATTTTGAATTCAGCTCTTCCTGACTCCAAGACTGACACTTTATCCATTGGGCCACCTGCAACACTTTCTAGTGCAGAAGGAACCATATTAAAATGTAATTGGGAGATATTTTACAATAAAAAAATGGAACATAGATAATGGTACTATGTGGTTTTCTAAGTCAATATACACCCACAGGAATCCTTTTGTTAGGTTTGGTCTCCCCTTCCCCACTTCCTGTTTGAGCTTAACACCACTGGGGTATATGGGAAGGTCCTTTCAAGCTGTAGATATTTATGACCCTACAAAATAACTAACATCTAAATGCATAATAATTTTTAATTCTCTCAATCTTTGGCCTGATCTTTAAAGTACCCCACAGAAATTGTCAACAGCTGTGGGACCCTGTTATAGCATGGCTTTTTGATTATGCAGATTTGAATATGAGGAATCACATCATGTCCCCTGGAACACAACACGGAGTTGGAAAATCACAATATAACATGGTTTTTCTTTAAAATGAGGGCTAGTCCTTTCTTCTAACAACAATATTATAAAGGAATTTCAGTGAAAGTGGAGCTGCTTCACGTCTACCTTTTATACCCAGTGCCTAGCACATAGTAGGTACTTAGTTAATGATTGGGGATTGAAAGAGTGAGATTTCATGTCAGAGAATGTGGGTTTAAATTATGGCCAATGTTTATATAGAGCTTTAAAGATGGAGAAATATTTTAGATGTTATCTCTTTTGATTTTTACAATAACCCTGTGAGGTTGGTACTATTATTACCTCTATTTTGCAGATGAGAAAACTGAGATTAAGAGTCCTTAACCTTACCCAGGGCCATACAGCTAATAAGTGAGTGCCTGCGGTGAGATGTAAAGTCTTCCTGACTCTAAGTCAAGGCCACTAAAACAATCATGCTTCTGTTATGTCCTGGTTGTTCGAATATGGACAAGTGTGCAAGTTTGCCAGTCTGCAAGGTAAGGGAGCAGGGTTGGACTCGTTAGCTCGAAGGCCCTTTCTACGAGGAAATCCTATGTAGCATCTATTACCCTGTATCCACTGAGCACTTGATGATTTTTCCTTGCCTCAGATAAAGCTTTGCAATTACTGACATTATTCCCTCCTGGTAGGTTGCTAGGTAATTTGGCCCCAGTTAATTTGGTAAAAGTGACAAAAAAACTCCCGAAATTGGCGGGTTAGATAGCTTTGTTTAGAGATTTAACGAATTAAACTGATGTGTATTCAGTAGTAGAAACCTAGATCTAATAATGATAGATAACATTTATATAGCACTTTGAGGTTTGCAAAGGACTTTCCAAATATTATCTCATTTGATCCTCTCAGCAACCCTGGGAGGTGGGTGCTATTATTATAACTATTTACCAGATGAGGAAATTGAGGCACAGACTTGCCCAGGTTCACGAACCTAGAAGTGTCTGAGGTAGGTTTTAAATTGAACAAGTCCCGTGCTCTCCACCTAGCCCACATTTGCGCTGGGGTGGACCACAGAGATCATCTAGTTCAAATCTTTTATTTTACAGATGAGGAAACTGAGGCCCACGGAGGTTAAAGTAATTTGCCCAAGAGAAGCAGAGCTGAGAATCGAACCCAGATGTCATTTACTCCCAAGTTCAGTTTTTCTTCTGCTGCACCACGCTGCCTTTCAAATCACATCCATCCACGGCAAATTATAGAGTAAAGCAAAACAAAACACAGCCTTTCCATCCATCCCACCCTCGCAACCTCATCAATCTCACCAGCCTGAAAGTCTAGGCTGGAAAATGAGTGTAAAGAAATTAACTGAAAAAGCACAAAGTTCAGAGTCGGTGATGTCGGTTACATAGGGTGTGGAGGAAACGTCAGAATGACTGTAAAACAATAATCTTCGCGCCTGTTTGGCGAGAGGCACTCCTGGCTAGGGATCCCCGAGTCTAAAAACCCGGTGGTCCCAGATCCGCACGCTGTGACTCTACAGCGTGTTTCTGGGACTCTGCTGTCCCAGCCAGGCTGAGCCCTTAGGAAGTTTGCACCAAGTGAAGAAGTCACCGCCGTCTCACATCATCACCATCGAAACAAACAGCAAACAGAGCGTTGCCCTCGAGTTGACAATGGATTCCCATCTGTCAACGCGATCGCCCTGGAGTGCCGATCTGGAGCTGGCAACACCGTGCCACCCACTCTTGCCCTGGCCAAGGCGAATCCCCGCGGGCCTCCCGTTCGTGGATACCTGGGGGTTTATCTCTAGGCAGCATCCCCCAGCTCTCGTCTCTAGGACTAATGCCATTTTCAGGTGCGTGCGGGGCCCCGCGGGAGCTAGCCCTCCTCCCTCCCTGCGCCCAGGCAACAAGTTTCCCAGTCAGTGAATGTGACGATCGCGTCGCGGGGAGGAGGGACACGGCACTCACCGTACACCATGGCCCCTCCAGTTTCGTGCAAGAAACGGAATCGGTGGTTTTTGAATAACCATATTGTGAGGATGGTCAGAATCAGAAGGAAATTAAAGACCAGCAGTTCCACTGCGCCCTGGTGCTGGAACTGAGACTCCTCTTTGGGGGACAGGAATCTGAGGCTCCCCATGCCAGCTCCTCGAGGGGCTTGCCCGAGCCAACAGCCAGGATGGAGGCGACGCTGCCTGCTCCCTCAACAACTTTTGCAATAGAAGTCTGGGGCTTGAAGACGTATGTCCTCAGTCTGCAACCACATCCAGAGTCGCAGCTTCAAGGCATACCGCCCCAGCTTAATATTCAGTTGCCTTCTAGTTACAACTTCCTGTTTCTCTCTTAAAGCAGCCTTGTCTCATTTTGTTTTTTTTTTTTTTTTGAAATTTTAAGCTTCAGAGTAGTATTACATCACTGAATTTTACTAACTTTAACCCATGTGGTCCAGGAGAAGCGTTTAGAATATGGCATAGCTTTTACAAGTGAATATTTCGGGATCTTATGTGATGTATGATGAGGATTCCCAATCGTCTCAAAGAGAGAGGTCCTCCTCTAAGAGAATAACTTTTAAATTGTTGAGAGTTTTCTTTTTCTTTTCTTACTTTCTTTTTTAACATTTTAGAAAGTTGGTAGTGATAACAAGTGCAACCAGGAAGACAAAGATTTAAGTCTCCCTTCTGGCAGATAATGACTGTGTGACTGTACAAGTCATTTAACATCTCAATGCTCTAGGTACCCCTCCAGGATTATCAATTGGATAGAAAAGGCTGACTTTTACTGGTAGAAAGACTTTTCTCTACCAGCAACTTTCCTGTGCCAGGGGTTCTTTATCTGGGGTCCATGAGCTATGTGAATTTGGAACTCTTAATATTTGGTAATTGTATTTAATTGGAATTGGTTTCCTTGTGTGTTCTATTTTATACCCTTAAAAACACTATTCTGAGAAAGAGTCCATGTTTTTCACCAAATTACTAAAGAGGTCCATTACACACACACACACACACACACACACACACACACACACACACACTCCCTGCCTTGTGCCAATGAAACCACAAATTTAATCCCTGGCCTAACCCCTTCCCCTTTTAAGTTTTTTTTTTTCCCAAATCAGGAGAAAGGCCACTTTATTTGAACAACATTTTCTAAGGTCCAAAAGTGAATGCCCAAATCTAGGATAATGATGTGAAGCTTAATAAAGACCTCATAGGCCACGTAGTCCATCCCCCTTGTTTTACAGATGAGGTAATTGAAACCCAGAGAGGTTCTGACTTGCCTAAGATAGTCACCTAGGCAATAAGAAGAACAGTGGCGAATTCATTAAGAGAGTGGTTTATTCCATTCAGTTAACCGATTGACTCCAAATGCAGTGAACTTTTCACATCACAGTGCCTCTAATCCTGCATCCTAACACACAAAAAAAGTTTTTCCTCCCCAGCAAGAAGCCATCCAACAGCATGGATGATTACTGACTTGGCCCAGGTGCTGACCACTTGTCACAGTTTCTTAAAAAAATATTTTGTTTTTAGTAGAGAAACGAACAATGCTCTATACTAACAAATGCTCAACTACTTTGGGCATTCTTGCTCAGAAGAGAAATGCTGCCCTAGCTGCTACTAACTATATAAGCCCATCAGATAGACACTGAGCATGTAATGCCTGAAGTAGTTGTATATTTGCTAATATAGAACAGAGACAGAAACTTTTCTATGACTTAGTAGATAATTGATAAATCTATTACAGTGGAGGGAATGATGGGAGGGTGGGCTATGGGCTTTGCTTGAACCTTACTCTCACTAGTATTGGCTCAAATAGGGAATAATATATATAATCAGTTGAATATGAAGTAATGACAATGAAGTAGTATCAATAGTAAACATGTATAATCCATGTAGTATAGCATTCAAATTCTTAAAGGAGAAGTTAAATGAGTTACAGGTTCATGACCAAATGAGATATAAACAGCATTATGAAATATAAAATAAATAATTTTGATTAAATTAAATTAAAAAGCTTTTGCACAAACAAAACCAATGCAACCAAGATTAGGAGGAAAGCAGAAAGCTGGGAAACAATCTTTACAGCAAATGTCTCTGATAAAGGCTTCATTTCTCAAATATATAGAGAACTGAGTCAAATTTAAAAGAATACAAGCCATTCCCCAGTGGATAAATAGTCAAAGAACATGAACATGACATTTTCAGAGGAAGAAATCAAAGCTATCTATAGATTTTTTGGATAATTCCCAAGGAGTCACAGGAGCTACGTAAATGTTAAGTGACTCACCCAAAGTCACACACCTAATAACAGAGATAGAATTTGACCCCACATATTCCTGGCTCCAAGTCCAGCATGCTATCCACTTAGCACTTGTCTCTGAGCCAGTTTAAAAAAAAAATGAAAATCCCCTTATTCTTCACCTTGCTTCCAACATATTTTACTTTTCAATTGTGTTCCTTGGTTAAATTGAGGCAAAAAAGAAAGTTTAAAAATATTTATTTGAAGGTCAATAAAAGCAGACATATTTAGCAACATCACCTATATGCAGTTATATTTCAAATCAGAGAGGACTTTTGCCCGAGTAATCAGACCCTGGGGAAGACTGAGACAGATTAAAAGCCATCATTCCTGTCTTGGGCAATAATACAATGGCAGCCCTTGAATGAAATGATTCCTCTGGAATAAAAGAACTCTTTTAGTAAGCACTTTCCTCTGAAAGAAAAATATCCATCCTTTCCATTGTTAATTTGGTTCTCTCTGAATTACAGTTTTGAATGCTAAAAAAGAAAAAGACAAAATTCTGCTCTAAGCATAATTTCTTCCTAAGTCAATGTTCTGTTTTGTTCATATAATTTACAATAGAAAGCAACTGGTTCTTTACAATTGATGAGTGAATTTTTCTACTATCCCTTGGTATTTTTTTTTTCATTTGAGAGGTATAATTGTTTTTCAGTCATAACCCCATTTGGGGTTTTCTTGGCAAAGATACTAGAGTGGTTTGCCATTTCCTTCTCTAGCTCATTTTACAGATGAGGAAACTGAGGCAAACAAGGTTAAGTAACTTGTCCAGGGTTTTACAGCTTGGAAATATCAGAGGTAGCATCTGAATCCAAGTCTTCCTGACTCCAGGTCTGGAGCTCTATCCATTGCACCATCTAGCTGTCCCAAGATATAATTACCTAGGAGCACTTAACAGGCTGACAGGAAGCAAGGTGTAGTACAGGGACATTGCATATACATATACATATATATAATATATATATGCAAACATACAAACATAAATAAATGTATGTATATATATATTTACATATACACACACATACATATATACATATGTGGTTGCTAGGTAGTGAAGTGGATAGAGTACCAGCCCTGTAGTCAGGAGGACCTGGAGATCAAATCTAATCTCAGTTGCTCACTAGCCGTGTGACCGTAGGCAAGTCATTTAATCCTGACTGTCTCTGAGTATATGTATATGTGTGCATCTATCTATACATATTGATTTATAAACTTATTTTTAAAATATTTTGATAACTACATTCAAATATAATTGGTTTCCTTTGTAATCCTATATATTTCATTTTATGCATTTAAAATCATTATTCTGAGAAGTCCATATGTATCACCAGACTGCCAAAGGGGTCTATGATACACAAAAGTTTTAAGGATAGTAATCACTGGATTCAGGAAGACTTGGGCTCAAGCCTTTCCTCTGACACATGCTGGCTGTGTGACCCTGAACAAGTTACTTACCCTCTCACTGCCTTAAGCAGCTTCTTAAGGGAAGAAGTTGCAGGGAAGGTGCTGACCTACATTGGAATCACAGGTTTATCACAGGTTTAACCACTGTGCCTAATTGCCTCTATCCCAGTGTCTGTTAGCAAATGTCAGCGATATAACATTGATTACAAAGTCATGCAATTTAGAAACATGATATAAGTGATTCATTTATGAAAAGAAGTTCAGATGAGTGAGCAAATATCTTCACTCTCCCTTTCTTCCCCACCCCCTCCTCTCAGTCAGCTCACTGATAATTGGCTCATCCACCCAGAAAGTCTGGCTGCTTTTCGATATCCAATTCCGCTGCTGACTTCCTTGCTGATTTTAACTCGGCAGGGTGTTGTGCTCACTGCCCCAGATGTTCCCCTCGCACACTCTCCTTTTTTGGCAAGCACATCGATGATGACTAATAACTAATAAGCAGGCTGTTTTGGAACCTGTCAGCTCATGACAGTTTCGTCTAGCTGCTCCAACAAGTTCTGCCTTTGTAGTTTTGCAAACCGACCAGTTGGGCCTTGAGTTTTCAGATTTTCGTGATATCCCCAATTCAGAAGCCAGCCAAGTATCTGTGGTTTTGTGATAAAGCCACTGAGCGTCATTCTTCCTCTGACCTTAAGTTCTCCGGGCTCTGCATGTGAGAATGGCTTCCTTTTGTCGTCTTACCTTGGACTTCTATCCCTTTCTGTTGTTCACAGAAGCATCTAGGCATTTTCAGATGCTGGCCGTCTTTCTCTTGCTACCTTTTAATGTTGAGGTGGATGCTAAAGGCAGCAGGAACGTTTTCACAGACCCTACCAAAGGCAGAAATGTGGTTTTCCTCATGTTGAGGCTTTGGGGATAGATTTTAGGATTATAAAAATAACACATTCATGAATAAAAGAATCATGGATCTAAATGGAATTTCAAAGGACATCTAGTCCAGCCCTCTTATTTTTGAGAAAAAATGAGACCCAAGGAGATGAAATGAGTTTTCCACAGTCACACGGGGTAATATTGAGAACTGGGATTCAAATTCAGTTCTTTTACTTCCAGAGTGGTATGCTTTCCTGTATCCCATGCTGCCTTGTGGTTTAAGGTCTGCAAAGCTCTGTCTCCAAAAGCCACCCTATTATGTGGGCAATACAAGTATTACTGTCACTATTTTTACAAATAAGTAAACTGAAACACTGTGAAATTGTGATTTGCCCAAGGTCAGGCAGGTACTAAGTGTCTGAAGTAGGATTTGAAACCAGACCTTTGACTCCAAGGGACTCACTCTTTCTGATACATCCACAAGAGTAAGGTAAAGACCAGGTCAAGATATTGATTACATTTCACATTGTGAGATTCAATTCAGTCATTTAACTTGTCATAAACTTTTCAAAAAATGATTGTCATTTCTGTGTTAACTATCCCCCCCTAGACTTGTGTCATCCGAAAAATTCAGTTAGGATGCCATCTCTGGCTTTATCCAAATCACTGATAAAAATGTTAAATAGCACAGGGATCTCTAAGGTACCTTTTAGCTCTAAATCTTATGATGTT